GGGTCGGCGCCCTAACTGCCCAATCAGCCCTACCCTGAGCGTGACTGAGGGTGGCATCACAACCTCCCGATCGCCTTGCTCTGTGTATGACAGAGGCGGCGCCCCAACTCCCCAATTGGCCCTGCTCTGAGTTTGACCAGGGGCTGCACCTAGGGATTGGGCCTGCCCTCTGCCACCAGGGAGCAGGCCTAAGCCAGCAGGTCGTTATCTCCCGAGGAGTCCCAGACTGCGAGAGGGCACAGGCTGGGCTGAGGGACCCCCCCTTCTCCCCGAGTGCACAAATTTTTGTGCACTAGGCCTCTAGTTATTGATAAACACCCTACTGCCAAACACACTTTATTCCTCATAACAGTCTTACTATATTTTATCCTGTATAAGTTGTCTTAATTCCTCTACTAGATAATTCCTTAAGCATAAGGGATGACTTCTCGTTCACCTTAACATGTATAGTAGACAATAGCATAAAAGACAAAGCCTTACACCTTCACAGTAAGAGCTGATTCCATTTTAAGATATTTAATTATGTATTTACTAGAGGCCCGGTGCACAAAAATCTCCTTACCATCTGCCTGCTTGATGCTCCTTAACACATTAAGCGCCCTATCAGTCACCAGTGACTGACACTATATGTTCTGTCCAGAAGACAAAACAGGCTGGGCACTTAACATGTTAAGGCTCGGCTCACTGCTCCTTAGAAGGCAGGAGAGACTCCTGCCACTGCTGCTGCGCTCGCCCGCCCTGAGCCTGGCTTCTGGCTGAGTAGCACGCCCCCTGTGGGAACGCACTGACCACCAGGGGGCAGCTCCTGCATTGAGCATCTGCCCCCTGGTGGTCAGTGCATGTCATAGCGACTGGTCATTCCGCTGTTTGGTTAATTTGCATATTAGGCTTTTATTATATAGGCTAATGCAAAACCTCTTTCTAATCCTTTTTGTCATTTATATTCTCATAAGCAAAATAAAATAAACAATACACAAGGTTTATAGCACAAATTTAAATCCAATTAAAAGCACATATAAACACAAGGAAAATCCAAATTTGAACAATTTACACTAGTAAAAGAGAAAAATGGTAATTGGCATACGACGCTACCCTTTTCATTGGAAAATCACGGCTATA